TTTTCCTTTAATTTGGGCAATTAATCTATTTAAAATCAATTTGAATCGATCACTAATAAAATTAATGGAAAATATTTCAGTTTAATACCCGGTATTTTGTGCAAGATTTTTCAATGATTGAAACAGTATATCACATAATCGTGTTAAAATTGCCTTGATATTACATTATCAGGATAATTGTTAAATAAATATTTAAAAGACGGGTCAAGTTGAAAATACTGACATAACGGCAATAAATTGAATAAGTATTTCTCTTTCATTTAGATAAGGACTCGAATATTGGAAAACATTTCCGTTTTCGTGTCTACCATTCGTTTATTTGCCTCTTGTGACTATACGCTATGAAATCTTGGTAATGTAAAATTGAGCCTACGGGATTTGCTTAACCTTTGAGTTGTCTTTATTTTCAAACAAGACCTTCATAATTTTCTTATGTTGTGTCGTCTGCTTTGACTAAATAAAGCGTTCGATAGATAGATTTTTAGTGACGCAGACGATAATCGTAAACAGCAGACGACAACACGGGAGTAATCACATCTGGTGAAAATAGGATGTAAATTACAGTAAAAAACCACCACGGATTAGCGAACAGTAGTGTTTTATTTGAATCTTTAAATACATGTTAATACGAACTATCTAGAGTTTATATATATACGAAATATCTAGAGTTTAACATAGCGATTTTACTAGGAAGTTTGCGATATGTCTAAAAAGGTAAATTTATTTATTATGCACAATTAAAATCAGATTTTTTGGGGTATGCAGATATCTGAAATACTTTAACAAATAATTATTCTATCATATCATATACTTTGTTCAAAAAAGATTTCATCTGTGTATATGTGTGTACATTTTGTAGCTTTAGCTATTTTAACACAGTAATAAGACTCTAATATAGTTTTGCTTTAATTTTTGTATCTGTTTGCTTGTATACGTATCTTTTTCACAAAAAAGAACAACATTTTATTATATTTCAAAGAGCTTAACAAATACAGTAACTGTTGTTATGTTGAACATTACAGGGCAAACTATGACATTTTACTTAACAGGCAAATTGTAATGTCAAAATAAATCTCTACATTTTTCTCGTTATCGCTTTTTGTTGTATAGAATTATCTGAGAAATCTCTCTGTTTCTGGCAAGACTGGCTGGTCAATACAACGGATGACATCATAGATTTACAGTTAGTTCTAAAACAAACCCAATTAGAGCTAATACAAATAGGTTTTGTTTGTCGTGAAAACCATTTTCTTTCTAGATAAAAAAAGTTATATCGAGACATGCAACTTAATGGGTAGGCACAAATGATAGTTGCACTATTGTGGAGTGGGATTCAGACAGTATTTAAGACTTTATCCCCTCACTTGCTTTATCCCGAACTTGATACATTAACTCTTTACCAACTTCATACATTACCTCTTTACCATCTGCATACATTACCTTTTTACCAATCCATACATTACCTCTTTACCAACTCCATACATTACCTCTTTACCAACTCCATACATTACCTCTTTACCAACTTCATACATTACCTCTTTACCAACTCCATACATTACCTCTTTACCAACTCCATACATTACCTCTTTACCAACACCATACATTACCTCTTTACCAACTCCATACATTACCTCTTTACTTCTTCATACATTACCTTCTTTACCATTCCATACATAAACCTCTTTAACCAACTTCAATACATTACATCATTACCAACTCCATACATTACCTCTTTACCCACTTCAATACGTTAACCTTTTAACGACTCCAAGTACATTACTCTTTAACTAACTCCATACATTACGCGTCTTAATCAACTCCATACATTACCTTTTTACCAACTTCAAACATTACCTCTTTCCTAACTCCATACATTACCTCTTTACTAACTCCATACATTACCTCTTTACAAAATTCATACATTACGTCTTAATCAACACCATACATAACCTCTTTACAAACTCCATAAATCATCTCTTTACCATCTCAATACATTACATATTTACCAACTCCATACATTACCTCTTTACCAACTCCATACATGACCTCTTTACCAACTCCATACATAACCTCTAAACCAACACCATGCATTACCTCTTTACCTTTTCCATACAATACCTCTTTACCAACAACATACATAACAACTTTACCAACACCATACATAACCTCTTTACCAACTCAATACATCACCTCTTTACCATCTCAATACATTACATCTTTACCAACTCCATACATCACCTCTTTACAAACACCATACATAACCTTTTTACCAACACCATACATTACCTCTTTACCATTTTCATACATTACCTCTTTACCAACTCCATACATAACAACTCCATACATTTACTTTTTACCATCTGCATACATTACCTCTTAACCAACTCCATAAATTACCTCTGTACTAACTCTTTACATTACCTCTATACAAACTCTATACATTACCTCTTTACAAACTTCATACATTACATCTTTACAAACTACATACATTACCTCTTTACCGTCTCCATACATTACCTCTTTACCTTCTTCATACATTACCTCTTTACCAACTCCATACATTACCTCTTTACCAACTTCATACATTACATCTTTACCAACTCCATACATTACCTCTTTACCCACTTCATACGTTACCTTTTAACGACTCCATACATTACCTCTTTACTAACTCCATACATTACGTCTTAATCAACTCCATACATTACCTTTTTACCAACTTCAAACATTACCTCTTTCCTAACTCCATACATTACCTCTTTACTAACTCCATACATTACCTCTTTACAAACTTCATACATTACGTCTTAATCAACACCATACATAACCTCTTTAACAAACTCCCATAAATCCATCTCTCTTACCATCTCAATACATTACTATTTACCAACGTCCATACAATTACCTCTTTACCAACTCCATACATACCTTTTACCAAACTCATTACATAACCTCTAAACCAACACCATGCATTACCTCTTTAACCTTTTCCATACAAATACCTCTTTAAACCAACAAACATACATAACAACTACTTAGCTCACACCATACAAAAACTTCTTTACCAACTCAATAACATCACCTCTTTACAAATCTCAATACATTAAAGCATCTTTACCAACTCCATACACAGCTCTTTACAAACACATACATAACCTTTTTAACCAACACCATACATTAACCTCTTTTACCATTTTCATACATTACCTCTTTACCAACTCCATACATAACAACTCCATACATTTACTTTTTACCAACTTGATACATTACCTCTGTAACCAAACTCCATACCATTACCGTTTTACAAACTCCAATACATTACCTCTTTACCAACTACATACATTCATCTTTAAACGTCTCCATACATTAACCTCTTTACCTTCTTCATACATTACCTCTTTACCAACTCCATAAACATTACCTCTTTTCCAACTTCATACGTTATCAATTTTACGTCTTTCCATACATTACCTCTTTACTAACATCCATACATTTAACCTCTTTTAAACCAAATTCCATACATTACGTTCCTTTTATCGACTCCATACCATTACCTCTTTACCGAACCTCAAACATTTACCTCTTAAAAAACAACTCCATACATTACCGTCTTTACTAACTCCAATAACATTACCTCTTTACCCAACTTCATTACATTACATCCTTTACCAAACTCCATACTGGTAACCTTTCTTTAAAACCAATTCAAATACATTACCTCTTTACCCAACTCATAACATTTACCTCTTTACCCACTTCATACATAACCTCTTTACCTTTTCCATACATTACTTCATTACCCACTTTATACATTACCTCTTTACCTACTTCATACCTTTCCCTTTACAAACTCCATACAATACCTCTTTACCAACACCATACATTACTACTTTACAAACTCAATACATTACCTCTTTACCAAAACTCCATACATAACCTCTTTACCAAACACCATAACATTAAACCCTCTTTACCCATTTCCATACAATACCCTCTTTACAACAACATTACATAACTACTTTACCCAACACCATACATAACCTCTTTCCCAAACTCAATACCATCACCTCTTTAAACCATCTCAATACATTAAACATCTTTACCAACTCCATAACATCACCTCTTTAAACCACCATATACATAACCTTTTTTTACCAACACCATTACATTACCCTTTTAAAAACCATTTTTCGATCATTAAACCTGCTTTAAAACTCCCATACATAACAACTCCATACATTTTAACTTTTTACCTCTGCATACTTACCCTCTTAACCAACTCCATAAATTACCCTCTGTACTAACCCTCTTTAACATTACCTCTTATCACAAACTCTAATTAACATTACCGGGGTCTTTACATAACAACCATACATAACCTTTTTAAACCAACACCATACATTACCCCTCTTTAAACCAAATTTTCAATACATTACCTGTTTTGTGCTTTTCTCTTTAACGCCAAACGTTTTACATAACTTAAACTCCATTACATTTTACTTTTTTAACGGCCAACTTTTGATTTACATTGTTAGACCTGCTGAAACCAAAATTTAAATAACTTTTACTTTTTTAAACAAAACTCCAACATTCCCTCTTTCCCTTTCCCCAAATACTTACTTTTTTTTTCCCTTTTTCATAAAAATTTACCTTTTTTTTAAAACTATACTTTTTCCTTTTTTCCAACTTCATACGTTTTATCATTTTTACGTCCCAAAACTTTAAACCTTTTTTTTTACTAATTTAAATTACTTTAACCCTTTTAAACAAATTAAATCCCTTACGTTTTTAAATCGATTCCATAATTAAAATTTTTTTTTCTTTACAAACCTCAAACCCTTCCCTTCTTTAAAAAAAACTCCATAACATTTAAACCTTTTTAAATTTTAATAACCCCCCCTTTTTCCCAAAATTTTTTTTTTTACCAATTTAAATACATTACATTTTTTACCAAATTTTCCAAATTTGTTACCTTTTTTTCTTTCCCTTTTTTTCAATACATACCTTTTTTACCAACCCTTTTTAACTTTTTTCCTTTTTTCAACTTAAATTTTTTTGGCTTTTTACCCCATTTTTTCAATACATAACCTTTTTTTAAACCCTTTTCCAAACTTTAAATTTTTTCATTACCCCTTTTTAAAAACTTTTTTAACCTCTTTAACCTTCCCGGGGTTTTCAAAACCTTTTCCCCTTTTAAAAAACCTCCCAAAAAAATTCCCTTCTTTAAACCCAACCCCCATCATTACTATTTACAAACTCCATACATTACTTTTACCCCAACCCCATAATAACCTTTTAAAACCAACCCCTTTAAAAATTTAACCTCTTTATTTTTTTCCCCAAAACAATACCCCCTTTAACCAAAAACATAAAAATAACTATTTTAAACCAAACCCCATATTTTAACCTCTTTAAAAATTTCCCAAAACATCCCCTCTTTACCATCTCAATAAAATTACTTCTTTACCAACAAATAATAAAAACCTTTCTTTACAAACCCCTTTTTACATTACCTTTTTTTACCAAAACATACATTTTTTCTCCCATTTTTTCCAAAACACTACCTTTTCCCCAAAACACTCCATACTTTAGCAATCCATAAATTTACTTTTTTCCCCAACTTGAAAATTTTTCCCTTTTTTTTTTTTACCTTTACTCCTTTAACTTTACCTTCTTTTTAAAACCTCCTACATTACCTTCTTTAAACCAACTACATACATTACCTCTTACCAAGTTTTTCATACATTACCTCTTTAACAACTCCATACATAAACAACTCCATACATTTTACTTTTTATCCCGTTTTTGTGGCGACTTGATACATTACCTTTTTACCAACTCCAACATTACCTCTTTACAAACTGCATACATTAACCTCTTTACACCAACTACATAAACATTACCTCTTTATCGTCTCCATACATTACCTTTTTACCTTCTTCATACATTACCTCTTTACCAACTCCATACATTACCTCCTTTCCAACTTCATACATTTACTTTTACCAACTCCTTACATAACCCTCTTACCCACTTCATACGTTACCTTCTTTACGTCTCCATACATTAAACCTATTTACTAACCTCCAAATACATTACTCTTCATTACGTCTGAATCGACTCCATACATTACCTCTTTACCAACTTCAAACATTACCTCTTTACCACTCCATACATTACCTCTTTACTAACTCATACAGTTACCTCTTTACCAAAACTTCATACTTACCCTCTTTACCAATTTTCCATACATTACCTTCTTTACCAACTTCATACATTACCTGTTTACCGCACCATACATTACAACTTTACCAACACCATACATTGCCTCTTTACCATTTTCATAACATTACCTCTTATACCCAGCTTCATACATAACCACTTGACCAACACCATACATTTCCTTTTTATCCAACTTCATACAGATTACCTTTTAAAAACCAAACTCCATACATTACCTTTACAAACCTTCTGTATGCATTACCGTCTTTACAAACTCTATACATTACATAGGGTTTTTACCAACTCTATACATTACCATCTTTACCAAAACTCCATATTCATATACCGTCTCTTTACCCAAACTTCAATTACATAACCTTTTTACCTTCTTCACATAACATTAGCCCTTTACCAAACTCCATAACCATTTACTTCTGTACGTCAACTTCATACATTACCTCTGTACCAAACTTCAATATACATTACCTCTTTACCAACTCTATACTTAACCTCTTTACCAACTTTTTACATAACCTCTTTACCTTTTTCATACATTACCTCTTTACCTACTTCATACTTTTCTTCTTTACCTACTTCATACATTACCTCTTTACCAACTTTATACTTTTCCTCTTTACCAACTCTATACATTACCTCTTTACCCACTCCATGCATTACCTCTTTACCAACTTCATACATTACCTTTTTACCCACTTCATACATATCCTCTTTACCTTCTTCATACATTACCCCTTTACCAACTCCATACATAACCTCTTTACCTTCTTCATACATTACCTCTTTACCAACTTTATACATTACCTCTTTACCTACTTCATACTTTTCCTCTTTACCGTCTTCATACATTACCTCTTGACCAACTCCATACATTACCTCTTTACAAACTTCATACATAACCGCTTTACCAACTGCATGCATTACCTCTATACTTACTTCATACATTACTTCTTTACCCACTTTGTACATTACCTCTTTACTTACTTCTTACTTTTCCCCTTTCCAAACTCCATACACAACCTCTTTACCAACACCACACATTACCTCTTTACCAACTCCGTACATTACCTCTTTACCAACTTCATACATTACCTCTTTACCAACTCCGTACATTACCTCTTTACAAACTCCATACATAACCTATTTACCAATTCCATACATTACCTCTTTACCAACTTCATACATTACCTCTTTACCTACTTCATACTTTTCCCCTTTACAAACTCCATACATTACCACTTTACCAGCATTACCCTTTCATTTTTACCTCCTTTTCAAACTTAATCCATTAGCTCCTTCTAACATTATACATAAACTCTTTACCAAATACTCTTTAAATTTTTCATGAGCATGTGCTGTTTGATTTGACAGTGAAACTATCGAAGCCGTAATTACATTGAGCTATTTTGGCGCCCTGACTCAAGCATACTACAAAAACATGCAACAACGGCGCATGCTTGTGCGATTTTATCCGTTGATGCATGCTTTTATGAAACATTTTCTTTTACACATATCCATACATAATTTTAAAAATATTTGAAAAGTTTTTGCTTTGTAATAAAATTAATAGATTTTTTGGTCAATTTATTTATACGCTCGTATTTTTAAAAGTGCACACAATTCACATAGTGTCAGTTTAATTACTCTCGCCGTCAGCTATTTTGTTTTTATAGGAAAGTCCCACTATAAAAATCCTAGTTTAAAAATACCTGTATTTATAAAAAAAAAATATACTAGTTCTCTCCTTTCTTTTACAGAAAGATTCGGACATCCTGTCCAAGTACTCAGCTGGACAAATACGAGGTATGATTTTCATATATAGTATTTAATCTTTTGAAAGCAAGCCAATTGTGTCTCATGCTAAGAACCAATTCATCAAACACTGCCGTCTCGTCAATCTGATCTCGGCTTTTATGCTTTGCAATATAGCCCCAATCTCCCCACGCAATGAATCTATACACTTTACAGGATTAGTTACTGCCTGTCCGTAAACGAATTTAAGTTCCGACATATTGGAACTAACTTTCAGTCAATGGTTTAAAACGGTAGCCCTCCCATGTGCCAATTTTGTAGCCAAGATGATAAGAGATTAATTCATTTTACTAGAGTGGAAGAAAGAATAATAGTGAATTTTTTAAATTAAAAAGTCAAATTTTTCTTCCAAAACAGACTTTGACAAAGGATGGAAAGTTTTCTTTCTCCGCGAAGGAACATTTTGCCTTATAAACGCGTTACGAATTGCATTGGTGTATTCGTGGTCTACGTATAGGTCAGACACTCACATTGATATTTCCATAGACTTACATTATAACACGGAGACTCATGAAATATTTCATTTTCTTCAGAAAACATTGTAGTGTTACTTTTTAAATTAGTTTTTATACTTAAAAATACCCCTCTTTCATCCAATCGCCTCATGTATAAACTGAATCATACGGTTTTCCCTGCACTTTTTTTCAGCCAATCGCTGGCCGTGTTACAATGCGATACCCTGACCTATACGGGAGAAGACGATGTTTTGCGATTATCGTCTTGTACTAAACATTTGTAATTATTTCACACTTTCAACCGTTGAAAATGGTTTAAATTAAGATATATAATGTATCTGTTGTTCAGACATGCTTTGTCGTTGTTCAGCATTTTTTTGTTGTTGTTCAGATATTTTTTTCAGCATCACTGCATATGAAAACTCTGAAAACTGAAAATTTAATGACTAGTCTACTTTTTTCAATTTGTTTAGAAATAGTAAGAGAAATATTGATTCTATCCGTTAATTCCTCAAGTGTGGTACGCCAAATTAACATAATCTCGATAACAAGAGTCTCTGTTTAAATATTTGCAGAGAAGATCAACTGATTTGGAGAGCTATAATTCAATTTATGCGAAGTTTAATTCATTTAGAACTCTCGAAATTATTAGTGTGCAAATAAAAAGTAAGCCTTTTTCAGATGTAAAAAATGAATTGTGCTTGCAGAAAAGAATCAAAGCTCAGACAGGGCATTATTTATCTACAAATGTAAAAGTCTAACTTAATAATGAAATTATTTTTATTCTCCTTTGACGTTCCATATAAATCACGGTGACTATACCACGTGGATTTTGAAAGTGAATTTAAACTATAATGATAACAGACCATTTAAGGAATTTATAGGAACCAGTTTTTCATCACTTTTCTTCTTTTCTAGAAAGTACAAAACATTTATTATAAAAGCATGCCCGTCAAAAAGTCTCCTCTTTTCCCAGAAGTAAGCTTGGAACAACTGTCTAAACAAATAAAACCAGTGCCCATGTGTGGGGTATTTGAGACATCTGATAAGACTTAAATTAAAAACATATTAAATAACTATAAAAGAAAAATGCCTTTTGGTGTTAATACATACACACTTTGGTCTGGTCTTACTTTTTTTATTGACATTACATATCAGTCACTCATTTTTTTTTCTTTTTTGTTTTCTTTTTTTGTAACCACATGCAATGTCATGCTTTTGTCTTTTGCATTTCACTGTTTATTGTTTGAGAAAAAAAGAAGAATTGTTATATCAGTAAAAAAGAAAATGATGTATTGAGAGGGATTTGAGCCTCGGGTCTCTTACTTCAGAAGCAACTTGGACCAGGGCCTGTGGGGAAGCTAGAATGTTTACACAATACAAGGGGGGATAATCCAGATAAACTTTGAACATTAGAATTTAACACACTACTATTTTATATTTCTTTAAAAGATAAATGTATGAATTAAAATTGTTTTATAAGTTTTACATAAGTTTTACATAAACTATGATTTATTAACAAATTACGTATAAAACAAGATTAATTAACAACCAATCATTTACGACTTATAGATCTCATGCCCCTCTATGTACATAAATGAGTTGCAACTTTTTAGTAAGTAACCCATACTGTACATAAATATTTTTTGAAGAAAAAAAATAGTATTAGTTCCGAGAAGTAACACAACGTGAATTTCTGAATTTTCAGACATGTGGTAAACACTTAATTGATTTTTTCCTTTGAAAACGTCGCTACTGCATCAACCAACTTTTGCATTGGTTTCCTGCCCAAAGCAGATCACAAAAGGTCACGTGGTTTAGACACCTTTAAATTCGAGTATATCTTTTTCTCTATTTTTAATTCAGATGTTCATTTAGTAAGTTACAAGATATCTAATATAACCATGTTTACGGAAAACAATATTATCATCACTGGAGTGCGAACAAAATGAAGTTACATGGCATTTAGCGTTAAATATCAAATATTGACACATCTGGTATTATCTCTTTGACATTTCTTTATCTCTATTTTGTATTGCCGATCCATATAATTATGAACATTGTTCATCTGCGTCTACGTCGTAGCTATGATTATTTAAAATTACATTTCATGATGTACTCCATTACAGAGCTAAGGGAAGCGTTCAAATTGTTCGACAAAGATGGCGACGGTTCGATCACCGCGGAAGAGCTTGGAACCGTCATGCGGAACCTTGGACAATTTCCGTCCATGGACGAGTTGAATATGATGCTGAAAGAGATCGACATTGATGGTATGTTTTTATCGTATTCTTTCGTTTATATATGATATTGTATCTTTCATTTATAAATGATATTGTATATTTCATTTATTAATAATATTTATCTTTCATTTATAAATGATATTGTATCTTTCATTTATAAGTCATATGGTATCTTTCATTTGTATATATGATATTGTATCTTTCATTATAAATTTTATTATATCTTTCATTTATAAATATGATACTGTATCTTTCCTTATAAATCATATTATATCTTTCATTTATAAATGATATTGTATCTTTCATTTATAAATGATATTTTATCTTTCATTTATAAATGATATTGTATCTTTCATTTATAAATAATATTGTATCTTTCATTTATAAATGAAAGATATGTGTCACCTTTTATCGCGGTAGTTACTGTGCTACCGACTCTTGCAAAGTGTGTAATTATCAAATGTACCGATGCATCTCAGAATGCCACACAAAATCCTTTGAACACTTCTTCAGCATTCAATTAACAAGAATTCCAATGATTTATGCAAGATGTGGTCTGTTGGGGCGGTGAAAGAATATTTGACAATTATCGGTTGATCAAAGGGGCGTTTTTCATTCGTTACGAGATACCACAATTACACATATTATTTCATTCATTCTAAATGCAGTCAGAATCAATATGGAACTTGTAAGCTCTCGTATAAAGTGTGCTTCTCTTTTTTCTTTCTTTTGAACTTCTTTTACTTCTTGAAAATTATCGCTCGATGTGTTATGCGTCTCTTCTTTATTGAACTTATGAAAAACAATGATCACGTCAAAGTACCCTTCAAACTAGAAAAACTGGAATGATAAAATGACGGTTATTTTTCTACAACCATATTGCTTTGTAAAAAATGTACACGTATTTATTTTCATTTAAAAAAATATACTTCAAGAGATTGACAATATTGTTTGCTAATTATGAGTAACAAAGCTTTTTCAGAGGTCTCCGATTAAGTCCTTGAATTAATATTGGCACGGATAGAAGCGATTTACCCATATACCCGTTTAATATTTTAGTAAAATATAATGCTTACTTATATACAATATAATTGTGATTGAAAATAGCTGGTCCATTCTGGGAGATTGCCGTCGTTAATTACATTATTACTATAGAAATCAATACTATTTTACGGTTTTAGGTGATGGAACGTTTAGTTTTGAAGAGTTTGTACAGTAGGGTGAACGTGTCAGTTTACACGCAAAACGCACGTTACACGCTATACGAACGCACGTTACACGCTATACGAACGCCAGTTATACGCACGCAAAACGAAACGAAATACGCAGACGCACGCAAAACGATATACGCTAAACGAAAATACGCTAAACGATATACGCACGCTAAAACGCACGCAAAATTGAAAACGTTTCTAAACCTTTATCAAAACATCGTAATCATTTTAGGTTTTTTAACAACTTTAGCTACATGTAGATCGTTTATTGCAGTAGCGATAAATTTTTGATTATCATATAGATCTATATGGTAGCTAGAAATGTATTTTTAAACGAGTTTATGTAAGAACTGAAATGCACTCAACCTAGCACCGAAATTTAATTTTGTCACAGCCTCAACAAATGATTTTTAGAAATTTTTTAAGCTAACGTGCGCTAATATCGAAAGTAAAATAGTTATTGTTGTTTTTTCGGTTTATTTTAGCTCGGCGCCGGAAATTCCATATGTCCGAGATCTCAGCGTCCATGCCGGTCCACTCTAGTAGTCTCATCGGGGACGTCTTTTTCATGCCGAATATCTTCCTAAGTCCTGTTCTTCGTTTCGGTGGAGGAAAAAGACAATCCCGGAAAAGCTTTCAAGTTCCGTGACGGCTGCAAACAGGCGGTTGACTTTAAAAACGGCTCTTTGTTAGCGCCACCCTCCAGATTTTTAGCCCACGACAGGTCAACCAATCACCCTCTTGGTACTTGAAGGGGGGGGGTGTTTTTAAAAAAACCTTAAAAAACCCGGGGGCCCCGGGTTGGGGGTGCTTTTTTTCCCCTCCGCGACGGCCCCCCCAAGGGGCCCTTTTTTCTGGGGAGGGATTTGGAGAAGTAAAATAGTTAGGATAACGTTGTTCCTTTTTATTATATGCGCAATTAAAATAAAAGAACTATCCCTTGGGCATCGCATGATACGTAATCCCTAAGGGTAATAGTCAACATGGCCAGACATTGAATTACATTAAAAATGCATTGCAATTTTTTATAAAAAATATACAGTACAGTGCTAACAATTAAATTCAGATGGAATTTATGAGGCATATCTATATATTAAGTGAGGCTGCATCATAAACAATCGAACTACTGTATAATAATCTTGAGTGTAAAATAAAGGAATAAACTATTTTGACAGAAGTCACGAAAACAGATTAAAAACACAGGATTCTACCACGGATAACATTAAGGGAAATGGATAACATTAGGGAAAAGCTTCCAGAATCAGGAAATGATTAAATTGCTGGCACAATACGTAGATTTAAGTTGATGTCCTGTATGTTTCATTAGGACACCGCATGATTTATCTTGTCTTGTCGCCAGTAAAATCTTCTCAAAACGAAAGTGAAAGTAAGAAATAAACAGTCTTCTGAAATCCTGTGAAATCACAAAAAAAAGGTAAAATTTCTAAGGCATTACAATATATGAGTATATATAAATATTAAGAACGCAATTTTATTTTAGGTCTGAAACAGCAGTCGAGAGTAAAAAAATGAGGAAAATAAGGAAACCGGTTGTGATGTAAAGTTATTGGATTTACAAAGACAGCGCAACAGAAATTATTTTTCATATCACTTAAAATTGAAATTTATTGACGTGCGCTTAAGAGGATATTGAATGCGTGTAAGTTCAATGCTGAATTTATTGCACAAGTTGAATAAAATTATATTATGCGACCTCTAGCTGGTGAGTATAATATTTACTTTATTCAATGAGTGCAATAAATTCAGTATGAACATACACAAATTTAATATAATATTCTATTTAACACATACTTAAAAATAAAGACCGTTTAAAGTGAAATCAGAGTCATTTTTCTTTGACGCGCCTATAGTTTAATGCTAACATGTTTAGCATCGGTCTTTACCACTATGTTTTATAACGTAATGACGTCAACGTCAAAATATTATGCAACGGCAAGTACAATGCCATATTTTGCAAGTTCGCAAAAATCGGCACACTGGTGTGTGATAATTAATAATTGCTTTATCACACAAACCGGTGCCAATTTTTCCCACTCCGTAAAATATGGTATTGCCATCTGTGGCATATAATTGGACATTGATGTCATTAGCCGTTATACAAACAATGGTAAAACACACTTTTAAATATTGCAGCCCTGACTGGGGACTTGAGCCCCCGGGACCCCTAGAATACAGTTCGGGAAGCTTGTACTACGGCTAAGCCATCAGCCCCGCTTTTTCATACTCCTCCCATTAATAGGTGAACCCAGTTCTTTGCTGTAGAAATGAAAAAATCAGTTTTACAGTATCCTTTTTGTGATTCCATATACCATGCCAGTAATGGTCCCCTGACAGGGAAGGGAAACACTTCCTTACTGATAGTGGATCTAAAACACCTCAGTGTCTGCATTATAGGACATTTTGCCATACCTTTTTTTTATTTTTAATGAAATTTGGTGGATTTTTTTCCATATCAATCAAACAGATGTAATTGTTACTCAATATTATAGTAATATGTTGCCTTACTAACTTAGTTTCATTTCCTAGGAGGTTATAATAAGGTAAAATTACCCCCATTTTTAAAGATGTAATGCATTTGCTTGAACAAAATAGGCATCATAGAAAATTTACCCTATCTTTCTTCATTGTCAATATACTTCAATGGGGTTTTTCTATTTTAGTCAATTAGATGTAGTTGTACTTGATAGTATAACATTATTTGGCTTTATCTTGACCAGAAGGTTATAAATAGGTAAACTTACCCAAATTTTCAATGATTTAGTGTGGTAAAAGTTATTAATAAGGCATTATAGAAAGTTAGCCATTATTTCTTAATTTCAATGAAAAATTTTTTTGGATTTTCTTATATAAGTCAATTAGATGTAGGTATTACTTAATATAATAATACTATGTTGCTTAACTAACTTTGATTCATTTACCATAAGGTTATAATCAGGTAATATTACTCCCATTTTTAATGAATTTAGTGTGTAAGCTTGTATAGTTATGCATAATAGGAAATAAGCCATAATTATTTTAATATTAAATGTAATTTATTGAGATATTCTTACTTTAATCAATTAGATATGCATGTTAATTAATATAATAGATTTATGTTGCACTTATGTAATAGGGGTAGTTCGGCGCAATATAAATATAATTATCCGAGCCCCTAAGGGTCAAATGAGTTCGGGATTGTTAAAAATCATAAATCAACAAACAGCTGTAAAGTTCTATATCCTGTTTATATACTGATCACATCAAACAAGTAGATTCTGTAGGTACAAACCAACAACACTCTGAAATAAGTATATAACAATATGTAAATATAAAGTAAAATAAAGTAGAAACAATGCATTAATTATTATCATATCTTACATAATTAATTACATGTCTAGTGGCCACTTCAGTTCTTTACACTCAGCAACAGGTTT